TATGTGTCACGAGTGAGCACAGGTTTTCTGCTGACACCCTTGGCCTTGACTTCAGTCTGCCCCGGGAACGCGATGGGTGTGGGAGACGAGATCAGGGCTCCTACACTCTAACCTACAGCCAATGCACGCCACAACTGCTTCTTTGGGCTGTGGTTGTCCCTGTCGAGTACGACGAACAAATAGTCAACTATCGAATGTCCAGATTGTGGTTTTCGTTAGTCTTGACGTTCATTTCGGTAAAGAACGCATGACTTGGAGACATTTATGACCTCCCTATGTACATTAAAATATCTGCAGTTTGCTTACGAAGCATACCGGTTGTCCGAATGTCTTTCCGTAACCGTTGGCGGTAAATAATAGGGGTCTTTAAACCCCACAGGCATGTAAAAATGCAGGTTGTGTTTTGAAAACTGTAGGGCTCAGGGAAGTTTTGAAATCTGGAAATACTGTATAATGTGAATTTTCAGGATACAATAAAAAATGTAAGGCTACAAGTTCTTGTTGTTTTTAGGAAAAAACCCAGACTTCGCATTAGCATCGAAAAACAACTGTAAAAAAATAGGTTGCTTAAGATCAGGCTTCATTTTTCAAGGTATCAAAAACGTTCTAACAAATTCTACTTGAAAGCTTACTCAGCCGTTTCGTTCGTTTTCCCAAATTTCGGCATATGCAACATCTACTTCGGCATATCATGCTCACTGCTTTTGAATTCGCTCTAGCATCCAGTCCTAATGCTTCGGTATCGTCACAAGTCTAATCTCTCTTTTTCTTTAAATATATGCCCACATACACAGCTGACCGATCGCGACAGATCGCTTTTGGAGGACTGCTTCAAACGCACCGTACCATGCTCTGCAGCAATGGGCTCCTCCTTCACGGGCGATTATACAACTCCGAAACGTCCCTTGACGGCCAGAGAACAAAACTGTTCTTTCTCAAACGGCCCCAACATTATGAGGTAAGTCGGAGCTCTCCATCATCCGAGCATTGCAAATGCCGTTAATCACAACTGCCCCGATAGGGTACCGTGGTCATTTAAGTGTGCATTTGTTCATAGTGATGTGGACCGGTGAAGCATCGACCTCACTTTATCATGCCATGCGTCAGATTCTAATCGGAAGCCAGAATCAAGACTACTAGATGTGGACGTGACTGGTGAGGCTGAGGTCTTTGCAGCCTGACCACTGTGTTGTAATTCGTAAGGAGCATCAGGAAACGGGATTATTTGATCGGACATTTCATTGTCCTAAAAAGTCTCATAATTAAAAACTTTTCTCAAATCGGTTTACATATCATATGAAAAGAAACAAGTTCTTCGGAAAATCGAGTTTCCGCTTCTATTTCTGGCGACAGACTGCAGTAAGAGTTTGAAAGCCCAGCCAAATAAAGCAAACAAATACAAGAAAGACTCGATTTTCCGAAGACTGTCGTTTTCATCTCGGAGTGCAAACAACTTCACTTATCCTATATATATCCTTTGTGGAAGGAATATCATAAGTGTCTGTTTTATTAATCAAGCAGATAACATATAGTGCTCATACAATTTTACCACGAATATGGACATAGATGTGAGGGGCATTAATAAACGAGCAGATACAACGCGATTGAAGTGGGCATTGTACAGTTCCACAAAGCCTTGTAATTAGAAACTTTTGAAATGGAACGAAAAATATGTAGGAAACTTGATTTACTATCAAATGAGTACAAGAAAAAGTATGTTTGCTGATTGTTTTTCTATTAAATAAATTTTAACTTGTAAGGGCCTCGAAAAGCTATAGAACAAGAAACGCACTAATTTAGCAGACATTTTTTTTTATCAAGCGGGGTTCTCTAGGTGGCCGAAAAGATTTTACCACAAAAAGTCTATTGTGTCTGAGATATCTTGAGATTATGCTCCAAGATAATGAGTAGGTCGATTAAATTTCCGTAGGCACTCCTAATTTAACACAGATTTTAAAAGTTTTTTGAACATTGCGTAAGTACCAGACTGAAGGAGCGTATGCTCTGTGTCGGCCGGCTTAGCAGCAAGATGGAACATTCACTTAAAAGTAGATGAACTCCCGTTGCAAGCTCTGGGTCTTTCAAAACTTTGGTTCCGGCATGACTTACTGAAAGCCGACAATGACGGTTCCGGTCTGCTCTGTCATCTTCAGTTTGAGATTCGAGTAACTGTTTTTTTACGCGTCGTGCCTATTAAATACCTTGTGAGTGCTTTTCTTTCCATTGTCAGATCCGTAAGCAGGAGTCACCTCAGTATTTCGGTGCCCCCAATGACGACTATGGAGGAGGAAAGCGATGAAATGATCGTTCAGGCTGAACGAAAACCCATAATCGAAGTTCTTCAAAACGGCAGTGAACGTGACTCTTGCAGCATGGTCGAAGGTCTGGTCTCCGACCTCCTCACTGCCATACCCGACTCAGAGTGGGATATCGGCCGAGCCTTCTTCGCCATGTCACACTTGGAATTCATAAATCAAAGTAAGTCGATTTTCTGTGAAGCCAGAGTTATGAGATCGAACTTCTCCATCGCCACTTTTTTAAAATCATTTTCGCTCTGTTAATATATGCTAGGTTCTACAATACTTAGAGGGCTGCCCCATCGAGATGTTTTTTTTAAACCTAACCAATTGCGTAAGTCATTTTCCCGATCCGATCCATGTGCCGTGGTTGGTCGCTCCTGATGTTTTATTTCGCTGTGTAAATATAGCACTACTGGTAGCCTGAGAGGCAGGGTGCAATGTCTCCTTCTCAACGCGCCCTCTGGCACTCTCATGTGAGTCTTCCAATTTCCATATATGCGAAATCCTGGTGCTTCTATTTGGGGCCATGTCGTGTACGTAGTGCGCATATACGAGGTCCTACAAGATAAGTAAAAAGAAAAAAGCTCGTCGATCGCCGGAACTATGTCTTTATTCGCCTGAGCTCTGTCAATCGATTTATCGATCTGGCGCTGGCGCACAGAGCCCTGCGCAGTTACCTCCAAACTGACGTCACTGGTGCTGCATTGACCCCGCCTCCTATAACCTTTGCTTGCTTTTTGTTGCTGCCTTTAGTTCTGACGATGGACTCCAGTGAGAGCTCGAAAGCTAAGACAAATAAAGCAACAATTCCGGTGAGCCACGAGTCCTCTTCTTTACTTATACATGCACGTGGAATGCAAACATTCGCCTCGCCGCACAAGTCCACTGATCGGCTCGGATGGTGGCCGGAGCCTAGGAATGGGAACAGAAAGCGAGGTCGACGGCTCAGCGCACTTTTCTGACTGCAAACAACCTGACGCACTTGAAGCTATCACGGCGCGCTAAAAGCCATGGCTTGGAAGGTTGCCAACTAACGGGATAACTCGGACCGCGCGGTCATCCCAATGTGTGTTTTGTGTGGCGTTTATGACTAGAAGACTGAGAGTCAGGCTACGATGGCTCCTTCTACATAAGTGTGGCCTTTATGACACTCACACACCGTGGAATCCGAGCCAGGTTGGGCGGCAGGCTTATAGTCGGCTCTGG